ACTTGGTCTTTGCCACAGCGGACACTGCTGGACTCGCCTACGTGAAGTCCGAGCTGCAGAAGAGACACACGTGCACTGACCTGGGTGAACTGCGCAACTACCTTGGCTTGCAGATCACCCGGGACAGAGCACGCCGCACCATTACCCTGACTCAGTCACACATGGTGCAGCAGGTCCTTCAGCGCTTCGGCTTCACGTACTCCTTGCCTCAGGCCACTCCTCTGCCTACTCGCCACTCGCTCTCAGCTCTGCCTTCGGATGAGTCCGTAGAGTCGAGTGGCCCGTATGCAGAGCTTGTTGGCTGCCTCATGTACCTGATGACCTGCACACGACCTGACCTTGCATACCCTCTCAGCATTCTCGCACGCTATGTTGCTCCTGGGAGACACCGACCAGAGCACATGGCTGCAGCGAAGAGGGTGTTGCGCTACTTGTGCAGTACATCGGGCATGGGGCTAGTGCTTGGAGGGCGCAGTCCAGTGGTCCTCACTGGGCACGCGGACGCTTCTTGGGCTGACGACCAGGCTACGCAGCGGTCGTCACAGGGTTACTCCTTCGGCCTTGGTTCCGGCTCTGTTTCGTGGCGGGCTACTCGCTCGTCTTCTGTTCTCGGCTCCAGTTGTGAGGCTGAGATCTACGCCGGGGCTATGGCTGCACAGGAGTTACGCTGGCTCACCTACCTGCTGACCGACCTTGGAGAGTCGCCTCGTTCTCCTCCAGTCCTGTACGTAGACAACAAGGCCATGCTGGCCTTGTGTCGAGAGCAGCGACTGGAGCACAGGACAAAGCACATTGCTCTCCGCTACTTTCTTGCTCGTGAGCTACAGCAGCGTGGACAGTTGCGACTTGCGTACGTGGCCTCTGAGGCCAACACTGCTGATGTCTTCACCAAGACACTTGCGCCTTGTGATCATCAGCGTTGCTGCACGCAGCTGGGTCTTGTGCCTGTCTTGCCTCACTTGCTCACTTCTTGACCTTGCTTGTACCTTCACCTATATATACTCTTGTTCTTGCTTGCTTGACTCTTGTATATCTCTATATATGATCTTGCATGTGGCCTTTGAACTTGTGCTCGGAATGTGTGGTGACTTTGTGATCCACCCTGAGCTTTGCTTTGCTTTGCTTGACTGGTCTTGTGACCCCTTGTTCTCCCCCACTTTGCCTATGGGGGTGTGTCAGAACATTATAGCTTACTTATTTGTGTAGGCTATAGTGGGGTATCCCATAGGGGGTATAACCCAATTAGGGTTTCCTATTTGTACTCACTTCATTCATAGTCAATCCATTCTCGTTCTTTATTTCACAAGGTTGACCTTGCGTACTGCCCCACTACCAAGATGGTAGTTTACTACCTTACCAAGCGACTGCCACGTCAGCAGTACAAGCACTGCTTCGACCTTATGGGAGTAGTCAACAGAGTCAGCCCTCTGCGCCACTAGAAATCAAGTGGAGTGTTACGATATGAAATCAAATTAGAAGGCATTCGTGTATGCTGCAAGAGCCGAATCCACCGAATACGAAGTTGAGGAGTTAGAAGAGTCGAAGCGACATCAGCAACCGTCTGACCAAGACCGATGCAGGCAAGTGAAAAGAGCGGGAATAATTTTGAAACGGGTTCCCGCGCCGCACAGTTTGAATTCAATGTAATAAGGGAATGTACCCCTTAGAGTACATGGCTAGTCTAGGTCGTTTCACATTCCTTTGTATTTCCTGTATAAACTCGATGTATGCATCTCAGTCATTTACATTCACTCTGACCTAAGGTCAACACTTTCGTTGCAACACTACCCTGCGATCAACCCTGAGACGATACTTTGCTAAGTCCCAACTGGAATTGTAACAACCCTTTTGGCCCAGGGTTTTTTTGTTGGATGTCTGGTTTCTCCCTGATCTCTAAGGATTTGTTTCAAGACAACCTTGTTTGTTTACTGAGTTGTTTTGAGGGACGAAGTTTACTTTGTACAGACTACAGAGCATATTGGCCAGGGCTAAGTTTATCAAGGTAAATCACCCTGATACCCTGATTATTAGGGTGGTTTTTGGTAGTCATAGTGATGGCCTTGGGTAAAATATTTTGGAGCAAGGAATTTCCTGATATGTGAGGGTTTACATTTAGGGCACACTGATGCCTCAAGGTTACCGATGTTCATAACGATTTTTACACTGAAGCGAGTACCATACCCCCCACTTCCCCCACCCCCCCCTTTCTCGTAACCCGGGATTCTTGATTGCCAATTGTCGAAATCGGAATTTCAGCCTCGACAATACATGTGCTGGCACGAAGTGGGCCACTATTGGCGACCATCACCTCTGACTCAACTCGGTTTGTTTGTCTGACATGATTATATTAATTCACCAGGGTTTGAAAAGCTGGTACACTGATGCCACATGGTTGGATTTTAAAAAACACGAAAAGCACTGATGGATCAGGGTTTGAACAAGGTGTCACACTGATAATCAGGTTTTTGAACATGTGCAACACTGATCACAAGGGTTGCTCAAAACAAAAAATTAGGCCTGATCTCGGCCATTACTCTCGGCAAAAATTGTCAGAATGTTATAATTGTCTAGCCTGCAGTGGGGTACTCTATAGCGAGTACAACCCAATTAGGGTTTCCTATATGTATGCCAACTACTGCTAGTGCAACCCCCTCTCTTCTTCATTCCTCATTTGTCTCATGCTATCAGAGCATCTACGCTCCTGGCCGGTGGGCCCACCTAACTGCTTCCGCTGCTACTCTGTGTGCTACTCTTAGCGGCCCCGTCGCCGCCCTTCTCGGCCCCTCGCGGCCCCTTCGCGGCCCCGTTGCCACCCTTCCAGGCCCCTCGCGGCCCCTTCGCGGCCCCTGTCGCCGCCCCTAACGGCCCCGTCGCCACCCTTCTAGGCCCCGCGCGGCCCCTTCGCGGCCCCGTCGCCGCCCCTAACGGCCCCGTCGCCGCCCATCTCGGCCTCTTGCGGCCCCTTCGCGGCCCGTCGCCGCCCTTCCAGGCCCCTCGCGGCCCCTTCGTGGCCCCGTCGCCGCACCTAACGGTCCCGTCGCCGCCCCTAGCGGTCCCGTCGCCGCCCCTAGCTGCCCCGTCGCCGCCCTTCGCGGCCACGTCGCCGCCCTTCGCGGCCCCGTCGCCGCTCTTCGCGGCCTCGTCGCCGCCTCTAGCGGCCCCGTCGCCCTTCGCGGTCCCGTCGCCGCCTCTACCAGCCCCGTCGCCGCCCCTATCGACCCTGTCGCGGCCTTGTCGAGGCCCTGCCCCGGCCCTGCCCCGACCCTGCCCCGGCCCCGCCCCGGCCATGCTCCGTCGCCTGGCGCGGCGCACCGGGGACCCGTGCACCCCCCCCCCCCCCCCCCCCCCCTCTTTTCCCGTCGCCTGTCGAGGCGACCTCAGGGGGCCGCGCGCTGGGGGGGGGGGGGGGGGGGGGGGGGAGCGTCGCCTCTTCTGCCGCCTGTTTTGGCGCCCTGGGAGGCCGCGCGTCGCCCCCCCCCCCCCCCCCCGTAACCTCCCTACCCGCCATCCCGCCCTGCCCTGTGTTAGGGTTTGGGGGTGGCGAGTAGGGGGTGGCGGGTGTGTGGTCTCCCCTGCTCCTCCTCCTCCTCTGTCTCCCACAGCTGCAGCTACCGCTGAGGGGGGTGGGTGTGTGGGAGTCGACGGAGTGGTGCTAGGGGGTGGGGTATGAGTGAACCTAGGGTGCAGCAGGGGGTGTGTGAAAGGGGGGTGCTTTGGGAGTAGAACTAGGGTTTGAGCAGGGGGTGTGTGTCGAGAGGTGTGGGGCAGCTGGAGGAGGTTGTGTGAAGGTAGCTGTCGTGTCGCCTGCAGCGCCTGTAGTCCGTCGCCCTTGCTTCGGTAGCCAGTGAGCCTGTTGCACCAGTCGCCAGTGGGTCCGTTGCTCCTGCCGCTCGTCTATAGCCGCGGAGCCAGTTACTCCAGTAGTCTGTCGCCCTTGCTTAGGTAGCCACTGAGTCAGCCGCTCCTGTGCCCGTGCCTCTGCAGCTTCAGTCGTTGCCTCCCATCTTCTCTCCCTCCACAGTTCCTCCTCCTCACTTGCCCGCTGTGATTAACTCTAGCTTTGCTCGCTATTGTGAACTCCTGCTCTCTGCCTGCTTGCTCATTTTGCTGATTACACCCCACTTTGGCTATGGGGGTGTGTCAGAATGTTATAATTGTCTAGCCTGCAGTGGGGTACTCTATAGCGACTACAAACCAATTAGGGTTTCCTATATGTATGGCAACTGCTGCTAGTGCAACCCCCTCTCTTCTTCATTCCTCATTCCTCACAAAAATACCTTTCCTTGGAAATATTACCAGAACATACTGGTAATTCGAGAAGGGAGTGGTAGTGGGCTCGATTCCTGTTGACGAGCTTGGGTGTACCTTTGTTTCTCAAATAGTAATCAAAGTCTTGCAAGGAAGTACCATTTTGCTTAAGGAATTTTCTTGTTCTCTAGGAAGGAGGAACTATAAAGTGTAATGACTGTGGGTCACGCTAATTTTCAGTGTTCTGAAAAAACCAGCCCCTATAAATAGGTTTGTAATATTTGAAATAAAAGTCCTGGTAGAATACCTAAGATAGTTTGAAACATTTGTCATATACTCACACTGATGCCCCTAATGTGGTGTAGAACCAAAAGTGAAAAACCCAAACTATTTCTTAATTATACTGAGTATCAAGCTTAATGTGTTACTGATGGTCTCCTGAACTCAAGAATATAGTTTCTTCTATATGCATATATATAATAACTAGATTTACACATAAAATTAAGAATTTCGGTATATATTGTTTTCCTCTTCTACGGTAGTACCTGGATTTCAAAGAGCTCCTTCCTTACTGCCGCATATTGTAAACGCTACCCCTTATGTATTCAATTCATGTAGAAAAGCAACAGAGTAGGGAATTTCTATTGTCATTGGTGTATCCATCCTTGAGCAACACCAGGACGTCGCTTGCGTTGGTCAATTCAAACAGTCGATATTCAGGTTTGTAATCCGTACTGCCAGTTTCTACCGCTTCAAACCTTACTACAGCAACTGTTCGCTTTTGTGAAAAACTTCCAAGTAGGAGGCCAAGCGTCCATGCCTTTCTCACTAGAGATTGCAGAATCCAACTTTTGGGCTTGCACGTCCACCTTAAGTGCTGCACTCAGCTCCTCTGTTCCCATCACCTCATTCTTGATAACAAGCAGCTGGTTGGCAATGTCCGCCATGCTTGGCCGATCTGCACTGCGCTGCACAGTGCAGCTCAGAGCCAGCTTGGCCAGGCGCATCACAGCATCATTGGGGGCATCTATGGTGAGTTCCTTGAGGCGGGCAGGGTGGTCGGAGGAAAGGCACGCCTCCACCTGATGGATTTAGAGAAGGTGGGAAGGCAACATGGCAGAAGCTAGATTTGGCTTTAAGGAGACACTTCAAGGCCGAGTGATTGCATGGTTTTGGTTGAAAGAAAACAGCAGGCCAACGAACAGAAGCAAGGTTGGGAGGAGGGATGAGCCCTCTATAAGAATGACAGGGTTATCAAAACATGTGTCAAGACTAATATGGTGAAAAGGCACGCCGTAATTGACACAGTAAACAGAAGGCACACGTCAAGGTGAAGCCAGTGAATAAGGCACTCTTGGAAGCAGACATGGTAATTTGGGAACACATCAGGATTGACTGCGTGAACATGATACAGTGCAAGGCTGAACCATTCATCATGTTGAGAAGGTGGCCATATGTACCATCATAAGCAGCATTCCAGGTGCACTGGTGGTATTGTGTGGAGCAGTGGTGCATGGCAGGGATAGGTATTGGCGCATTGCTTACCCATGACAGGATGTGGTCGCACTCTCCTTCATCCACATGGAGTGGCCGGCTCTGTTTCGTGAGCACCACAAGCATGAGCACACCAAAACTGCACAAGCAGGGGGACAGAGATTGAAAGTAAGCACCACGTTATGTGTGTTGGGTTGAAAAAATTCCCCTTCCACCGAACCTGATTTACCGGTTGAAAAGTTCACCTAGCCAAAGTGTGTATGTCGCCTGCGCAAGTTCACGTTGACATCATGACGTGCTCACCTGTAGACGTCGGTGGCGCTGGTCGCCTTGGACGTGCGGAAGTAGACGGGATCAACATAGCCCGGTGTTCCCATCACTCGAGTCGTGCCCACAGTGGTGCCCTCCTCCGCCCTCACAAGTCCAAAGTCCGCAATCTTGGGATGGATGGAACGACCAAAAGAAGTAAGCACAAGTACAAAGAAACATTGAAAGTCTAATATTATGTGATAGAAGATACCTGGAATTTGATTCTGCTTGTCAGGATCTATAAACTCTTGTCAACGCAAGACTCATACCACAGTCATTGCGACTATGCTAACATCGCTGCCTTCATGGTGCTTTGATGCTATTAAGCATAGTAACTCTCTGATTGGGTGTACCAGAACTAACTTCCAATCACGCAACAATAGCTTGCCTGCATGTTTTCTCCAAGAAGGATGTTGGCATGTTTGATGTCGCGATGCACGAGGCCAAAGCCGTGGAGGTATGCCAAGCCATGTGCAACACCGATGAGGATGTCCAGCTGCTGCTTCATGGTGAGGCACCAGTGCGCTTCTGCAAAGATCGGTCGTACGAGTGAGACAATGTTAGCTGGTTGATTTTGTCACTGAGGAAAGAAAAGAAGGACAATAGTTAGCTTGTGAAGCACTGGGTGGTACCTGTACTGATCCACTTCTCAAGGTCACCATTGGGTAGGAACTCGTAGATCAAAATTTGCTCTGGCCGTGTTCTCATGTCCCCTCCAACAGCAAACCCAAGCAGCCGCACAATGTTGGGATGGTTCTTGCCGGCCATTTGTCGCACCTTCCAAAGAAACACGCCATTATGGGATGGTGGGAAAACAAGTTTTGACATTTTGGATTGAGAGTTTTCTTTCAAATCTTCACTGCTTACACCGTGCAACTGTGTGGGTATGCTGGAGGAAATGGATTGCATGCAACAAGGTATGCATGCTTCGGAAACGACCAAGAGGATCCGTCTCTCTCTTTCGTTCCAAGGCGGACGCCCCTGCTGCGATCGTCACCTGGAAGACTCGAGCAGGCATGCACCCATTTTGGGCACCCTGTTCGCCGCATTCACTCTGATGGCGGCGGTGAGTGTCGCAAGTAAGGTATCATCCTATTGTCAGCCCCATGGCATTCGCCAAACTCAAACCCTCCTTCACTCCCTACAGCCAAACGGTGTGGCTGAGAGTGTTTGGAAGATCACCAAGACTGCTCGCTGTCTCCTTGTCCAGTCCTTCTGCCCCTCTTCTCTGTGAGGCTATGCCTTCCTTCATGACGCTTTCCTCACTAACCTCTACCCTCACTCCCTGCACCCCACCACTCCCACTGAGCTGTGGACGTCGGCCAAGCCGGATGTCTCTCTTCGCGTGTGGGGCTCCATAGCACATGTCCTCATACACCCCACCCCACTGATGGCTCCCTTTCCATGGGCAAGCTCGCCCCCCATGCCCTCCCCTGCATCTTTTTCGGCCATCTTTCACCCCTCCTCAGGTCGTCTCATGTGTAGTTGGGATGTGGTCTTGATGCGTCCAACCCCCTATAACTTCTCCACCCCCCTCCACGTACCCACTCCCCCCTCAGGGGTTTTAAAACATCACGGTTAAGTAGGTGGAAACTAAGTGTCAGCCCTGGTTTAATTTAGTGGACCCCTTTTTGGGTTTACACACGCAAATTTCCCAAGCCTGTAGTCCGGAGGCAGTGGGCGAACCCGAACATGTTCGGTCGCCCGAACATTTGACATGTTCGCCCATGGGTAACATGTTCGCCCGCCCACGGTGGGCGAACACCAAACACCTTATTTTCCAAAAAGGGTTCAGGCGAACCGAATTTCCATGAGTGTTGAAGCGAACACTTTCGGTGTTCGCCCGTTGCTCATGTCTAGCCACCGACGAAGAAGAGGGTGGAGCAGGCGGTGCTGTAGGGATCGGTTTAAGAGGATTGGGCGGAGGGATCGGCTGTTGAGATCAAGAACGTGGTCTAGGTCGTTCATGTGCCGGAAAAACTCAAAATCACAAGACTTTAATTCTGGACAAAACTGTCGGCTTCACACGAAATGTCGTCGATGAAAAGCACACTGTTAAAACTTCACCAATTTCAAATATGCTGTATCTCTACACCGAGGCTAAAATTCTCAATATGAATCGCATCAAAAGATGAAGTAAATATTTAGTGATGAATTTTGGCTCACTGGGGGGTATGCTGGAGCTGAAACTTAACTCAAACTCAATATTCTCCCCAAGAACCACAAAAGAAGTAGACTACCTACAAACCAGGTGGGAGAGGATAAGGAGAATGAGAGGGAAGGTCGCTAAAGATTCACCATCCAAGGAAACCTCATAAACACATCAATTCCCTATTTTTAAGGAACCAAACTTTTCACCCTTATCAATTTCCCAACCCATGTCATCTATCTCATCCAACTTAGCCACATTTGCTAACCTGATTTGGCTTCTCCCAACCACTTGACAGCAACTACAGTTACATGACAAATTTCTCCAACCCCCAATGGTCCATACACCATATAGAGTCACCACACAAATTTCTTTTGGTAGAACCCATAGCAGATCGCAACGAAATATCAAAAGCATACGAACTTCAACCGTTTGTAATTTTCTTGTTTGTGCTCCGAGTGAAGCGATCCTTTGTTCGTCGGAAAGCTCTCGAACAGAAGTCATTTTAGATACCTGCTCAAACAAAACCCTAACCGTCACCACACAGTCACAACACCCAAACCGTGCCAAATACAGAGTCTTTCACACACGCATACTACGCATGCAATGTGCGAACATGGGATGAGAGGCAGATAGACGTGAATGCATATGGTAGCATCACACAACAAATCCCCCCTCTTTTTTGCCAACCATCATCCTACATGCCTCAGCTCATGCATGCACCCAAGGTTAAAAAATACGACCGTATTTTTGAAAATTTACCGTAAATTACGGTATCGTAATTTACGGTCGTAAATTACGGTAAAAAACTATTTGACGTTGCAAATTAGGTTGGTTCAAAAATACAGTCGTAAATTACGACCGAAAGTTTGAAACCGAGTTTGTGTATAGCGAATTTCAACATTTCCCAACCGTCAACCTGCTCGTGAGAATTTTTGTGGCCCCAAACCCTCTCGAGAGTGTTTTTTTTCCCGAGTCGCGAGTGTCAGCAAAATCTCGAGGCGCGACATTGTGCATTTTGGTGACAGTTTAATAGGTTTGTTGCCCATTCGCACACTCGTTTGTGTATTTCGCCGAATCGCAAATGTACAAATTTGTGCGACGCGGCAAATTGTACATTTGGCGAACGGATAACACAAGTCTACCCGTTTCGCCAAGTCGGTGGGTCGTTTCGCGGCCCGTTCGTTTTTTTCGCACGCATGCGCTACTCAACTCAATTTCGACACCGCAAAACCATTCCAACCAATAGCGTTCGTCCAATCTTCATCCCTTCCATCTCATCCCTTTTGCATATTCCATTCGCCAACGCAACACCACCAAGTTAAACCAGGGCAAAAACCACCATTCTATAGTGTAGTATGTTATCGCCTTCCTTGTCATCGTTGTAAGCTTTCTAGGAATTTATGGAAAAAAAAAATCCGCAAAAAAAGTCCATTTAAAAAACGACAGTATTTTTGCCAAAACCACCGTAAATTACGACCGTAATTTACGAGCCGTAATTTACGTTTACCGTATTTTTTAACCTTGCATGCACCTCAATGCACACTCAATCCCGATGGTTTCGGTTAGGCATGAGCAAGGGGCGAACTCGAACATGTTCGAGTTCACCCCCTGACGAACATGGCCTTCTGCCGAACCGAACAGTGTTCGGTTCGGCGAACGACTTGAGTGAAAATAGGTGTTCGCCGTTCGCCCTAGGAGGCGAACGAATTGCTGCAACAGGCGAACACGAACATGTTCATGGCGAACATGTTCGTGTTCACCCAGGGGGAAATTCAATATAGAGTAAAATTCAAATCGTCGCACATTCTCTCCCCCCACCTCCCAAGCCAGTCCCGCCCTGCTTCATCCATCTAGTGCCAGCGTGCAACGGCGAAATGCTAGATCCGCACTTAAGCAGCGGCGAAATGCTAGATCCGCACTTAAGCAACGGCGAAATGCTAGATCTGCACTTAAGCAACGGCGAAATGCTCGATCCGCACTTAAGCAACGGCGAAATGCTAGATCCGCACTTAAGCAACGGTGAAATGCTCGATCCGCACTTAAGCAACGGCGAAATGCTCGATCCGCACTTAAACAACGGCGAAATGCTCGATCCGCACTTAAACAACGGCGAAATGCTCGATCCGCACTTAAGCAACGTCGAAATGCTTGATCTGCACTTAAGCAATGGCGAAATGCTAGATCTGCACTTTACTAACTGCGAAAGGCCAGATCTGAGCCCAAACACCAAGGCCCGCGACCTAAAAATTGGTCGCGGGCCTATTCGTCGACGAACACATTGGTGGTTGTCGAAGGCCCGTGTCGAACACGAACACGTTCGTGTTCGACGCGCCTAGGCGAGCTGAGCCGGGGCGAACGGCGAACGTGTTCGGGCGAACACCGAACACGTTCGCCCCCGAACAATTTAGGCCAAAAAAAAATCCTGTTCGGTTCGCCTCGAACGTGTTCGAGGCGAACCGAACAGGAGTTCGTCATATTGCTCATCCCTAGTTTCGGTAGGTGGCTCGAAAGTTGCAAAGCAAATCCCCCGAGTTCAGAGCCCCCTCCGGTCCTCCCACAAGCGGTCAACTTGGGCCGCAGGGTTGAGTTTGGTGAGATAGCTCACCGTTTGTTCTTTTGCAAAGAAAATGGCCCATCGCTCACGAAACTAGTGCAGCAGCTTCGCGGCCTAGTGAGTAGGCGGGTCGGCGTTGAAGTGTTTGCGTGCTGCTGCATCTACCGGTAGTTTGAGGAAGACCGAGACATCCTCACACGGGCAGCCATAGGTCTCTACTGCCATCGGGAAGAAGCCAGCGTTACGGTAAATCCCTATCTTCATGTCCGCCATCTCTCTTGCTGCCAATCCCCTTCGCTTTGATGCTGTCTCATCGCAGGTGCTAATCGGGTTCGTGATCGTGATGTTTCACAGCCAGACAAAGGCCGTGTTGCGGTCCCGTATAGCAGGGTCAGCTTTTTTGTTGTCCACCGGGCTAAACGGCGTAATCTCCTCCTGCACTATGAGCCCTGCGTCTTGCGCCATGCGAATGCATTCATCCCACACCTCGTTATGAGTACTTGTCCGCCCATGCCCAGTGCTGCAGCGGAGGAGGTGGCTATGCAAACGCTTGTACAAAATTGCAATTCTGCCGTTGTAGTCACAGCAGCTTGGTACAGGGAGGGGCATGCCTAGCCTGAACTGGAGGGGAAAGGAAAATTGCTTGGGGTTGCGGCCGAAGGAGGGCATATAGGGGATGGCGAGCAGCCAGTCCCCTGCTCCGTATCCAGTGAGGGACAGCAACCGCTAGGTGTGGCCTACTAGCGGGTTTAGCTCCACCTGTATGCTTTTACTTGTGCAGCGTTGCGGCCGCCCTGGACAAGGAAGGCCAGGCGGTGTTGAAGCTGTTCAGTTGGGGCTGCCATTTTTGCCGAGAGGAGGTCCCTCGCCTCATGGTTCAGGGCTCCCTTGCAGCTGTTGAGCCAAAGTTGTAGCGCGTTGGGGTAGGGGTCTGCTGTTGCGGTCCATGTCATTGAAGAAGACAAGGTGAGGCCGACTGGGCTTGGCAGCGTGGCCAGGAATGCGTGCATTGCACGAAGCTCGCCATGTAGCTATAGCGGCCTTCTACTGCCGGCCTTCTACTTGACGGCCCTTCCCCACCCCTCCTCAGC